CTCCTGTACCTGGCTAGAAAGGAAGGTCAAAATTTCTGGTCCTTATTTTTGGATTACTGGTTTTAAGCTGATAAGAGTTAAAGCCAGCATAAAGTGAGTCTTCTGTCTCTCAACTAGTATCCAAAGCAGAGCCAGGATCCCCTTCATCTTTGCAGATTAGCAGTCATCTTCCTCTAACACTTTAGCTTCATTTGAAGGAATAATCTGGATGATAGCATGCTCTCTGAAGCATCTGAATGAGTGTAATCTAAATGGATTCGCATAAAAATAGGAGCTTTTGGAACCCACATATTCCACATTCTGGCTGATTCATCTGGCTAATAGCTTATTTTTACTGCTAGAAACATTGTGTACATCTATCAGGTATGGCTCCTTCAGGGTTGTACTTCATCTTACGGCAGAGACCTGTATGTGCATCCATTCAGCAAAGCAGGTGATGATCCTAGGTGCTTAGGAAACTCTCTGTCTGCTGCCTGGAAGATCAAATGATGACTGGAATAAATTTCCTGAGTTAACCTCTTATACTGCACTAACTTCTTATTGAATTAAAATATATGCTTTGCCAAATGTTTTTTCTTAGTGCTTTTCCCCATTTCTCATAGGAAAAGTAGAAAAAATTATACAGTCCTGGTTTCCTTTTTGTCTTTGTTTTCTGTCAGTGTGAGTTTGTGAACGTCAACAGTGTTTTTCAATTTATTCTGCTGAAGACAACCAGGCTGAGGTTGTCAAGACTGCAGAATAAAATGCAACCACTGCCACATCACAGTCAGTGTATATGTGTGTGTGTCCCCATGTGCATTAATTGTAGTAATAAATTCTAATTGAGCAAAGCAGACCCAATGTTTGACCAGTGCAAAGATAAATAAATATGCCATAAGAGTGAATGCACAGAAAAGGATATGCTTTCATATTTGTGGTAAAAACTCAGGAAATGCCTGGATTTATATGTCAGTACCCAAGAGTACCCACAGCTCCAGTAAGATTTTACCTTCTGCTCCTGGTTTGAGGTGCCAACAATGTTTTAGCTCCTACCATGAAAGGAAGTATCAGTAGAGACATTTGCCTTTAGAAGAATTCTTATATGTAGAATTTCCATTTGGAAAAATTATGAAGAAAAAGTAAGGGCAAAAATGTGACTTTCCCAGTCCTACACACAATTATTCTAGTGGGGCTGAAATTACAAAAGTGTTTAAGCTGCATCCAAAACCTAAGTCACATAAAAGAGCTCTTATATAGATATATGTAAGTACTGATTTGTCCACAAATCCCTGGTGTTATACAAGTCATGCTGGATAAGAAATAGAGTCCTGAAAAAAATGGGTGTGCATCAAGAATGTATTTTGTATAACGCAAATTCACAGAACTCAAGGGAATCCATGGCCTTAGCAAAACACTCCAGAATATCAGGACTGAGAATGTACAGCCTGAAACAACTGCAGTTGTTCAGCCTGGAGAAGAGAAGGCTCTGGGGAGACCTTACTGCAGCCTTCCAGTATCTGAAAGGGGCCTACGAGAACGCTGGGGAGGGATATTTTACATGAGCTTGTAGTGGTAGGAGGAGAGGTAATGGGTTCAAACTGGAAGAGTGTAGATTCAGATTAGATATAAGGAACAAGTTCTTTACCATGAGGGTGGTGAGACACAGTCACAGGTTGCCAAGAAAAGGTGTGGATGCTCCACCACTGGAGGTGTTCAAGGCCAGGTTGGATGGGGCCTTGCACAACCTGTTCTAGCAGGAGGTGTCCCTGCCCGTGATGGGGACAGAGTGTTGGTACTAGATGATCTTTAAGGTTCCTTTCCAACACAAGGCATTCTATCTTTCTATGATTCTGTGACTAATGGGGATAAAAATATTTCTGTTTTACTGGTGCATCCAACAGTCTATCATTCAGCAGACACTAGGATGTGCTTTTTCTCACACTGCTTTTAAAGTGTTGTAGTTATTTCTGGCGATGTCAACTGGCAAACAACAATGAATTTCATCCAGCGTTATTTCTGACTGCTTGTGCTGAAATGAAGCAGGAGAACTAGCGAAAAACTGTATGGCCTTTGGGTGGCGCCTACTGCAAAGCGTTTCATTTCTTTTCTTACCGAGTAGAGCTGAGGAAGGTCCCAGTCTGGCACTGGCTGGGTGAGCTGTAAGTCCCCAGCTCCTCTGGGGAGACTGTTGAGAGAGGGTGCGACCACAGAGGGAGAGGGTGGGATCACAGAGCATCGGGGATATCTGATATGCAAAGAGGGGGCACAGAATAGAAAATGGATAACATTTTTTATAAATGCAGTTTGCATTTAGTAAGTGTGAGTTATTTGCTTCTCTGGTTCTTGCTTTTATATGGCTACTGAAAAAAAGAAGCTGTAAACACATTTTGTTGGTTATTACTTTTTTTTTTTTTTAATACTGTTAACGTGCACACTCGTAAATGAAACAAGTCCTTGCCTAGTCTCACAGTTAAAAGAACAGAGAAAACATCAATTTACTTTCTTTTTCAGGGTATAGTATCATGCTTACATGACCCTAACAGATATTGGTACGCTAGGTGGGAAGAACAGGTTTTAAGAAAGGCTTTGAAAGCATAGTTACAGTAAGAGGTCAAGAGCTGGCACACCTGCTCTGGAGTGTAACTATGTGGGCTCTTAGATCGTGGGTCAGATCTGATTCTAACCAGTGATTTTCAAGCATAAGGACCTGTAGTGGATGGGGAATGTGAGGTGCAAACAGAGCCAAGCTTGCCTCCCACCCGACCTGCTGGGCCAGCAGACACAGCAAAAGATATTGTAATGTGCTGATGGAAGTGTTGATACCACGCTGCTAACACCTCCAGCCCAAGGAAATTGAAAGCAAGTCTCTCTCTCTCTGGGCTTGGTTTTCTGAGCTTGTTTTAGAATTGCTTCAGTTTAGACATGTTGTGCTCTGCCCACAAAGTTTTTTCCTTGTTGTAATCCGGAGAATAAATGCTGTATGTCACTGGTATTTATATCATGTGGCAACAGGAAAGGTGATAAGCAGCTAAGCTTATCTAAGCAGCTGTGATGTGCCAGAATACAGTGGCATAACAAGGTTAGCCGTAAGCTTACTTATTCATCAACCTATAAAATCAGTCTCTAGGACAAGAAAACACATCCAAAATACTGAGAAAAGAAACACAAGGACATCATTGTTCAACACAAACAACTTTATTTACAATTAGATATAAAAACTCAGAAGACTTTGAGCTTTATTTTATTTGTATTGAATTCATTAACACTTCTAATAAACTTTTAACCTGCACTGTTTGAAAAAATGTGAATACTTAACAATACCCTTAATAACATGTATTAACAATACCTGTAACTGCTGCTTTAGACGAAATAACTACAAATCATAATTCAAGTGCAGTCTAGGTGCTGAACATAGTTTAAAAGTCCAAACCTGCATTGAGATCAATGAGATTACACATATGAACAAAATATTTGTCTGCATGCAAAATTGGGCCCTGAGACATTTAAAATCATGGCCTAAAATGCTGTATTGCTGCTGCTGGAGCACCACATTGCACTACACAGCGCTAGTAGAGCAAACACTAACTTGTTGGCAATGGGCTTGAAGCCAAAGAACCTGAAGATGAAATGGTAATGTATCAAAAACAACAGGAGCATTGCTGTTATTCCTTTCGTGAAAAGATCTCACTGTTAGAATCTGGCACAAAAGACTAGTTTTATTACACAAACTTGGTGTCAGGTCTTGAACCACAGCAGAACTGTGCTCACACTGTTTCGACCAGTCCATAGGACTCTAGCGATGCCTTTAGTTGTGTCAAACTGTCCTCAGACTAATATGGCAACAGGACATCACATATGACACTAGCAATAATGTAGAGATGAGAGAAAAGTCTTGTTTCTCATTGACTAGCAAGCACCATGAATAATTAAATGCATGGGCTCTCTAAGTGAGCTTCCCTTGAGCAGCATGCCTCCTTCATATCTCCTGCTCTGTTACTTGGCACTTCTAGCTCACATCTGGAAAAAGATAGTGTAGCCTTGTACCACACAGCCCTTGCCTTCAAGAATAATCTCCTGGGATTTCTGTGATTCATCAGCTCTGTTTCTAGCTACACAGGCAGTATGGAACGTGGGATTAAAACAACAGTATTTTAGTTTAGTGGGTTTTTCCCTTTATTTCCAAAGGCTGAAAACACCTTATTAAATATACTCAGCCAAAGATATTGTCCTTTTTTAGCAAGACAAAACTTTCTGTTTTAAAGTCATTGTAACACTATTTCCAAACTATAGGATATGAGTGGCTGGCCGTGTTGACTTTTTTTTTTTCTTTTTGCAGCTCTTATTTAAGGGGTCAAAAGATCTAAGAAAAAAAAAATCTCAGAAAGTGCTGAATTTAGGCTCTCATTCTGAATTCAGTGAGTCCATGGGGAAAAGGAGAGACCCCACAATACTCAATATCTGCCCCATTGAGTCTCATTTCTAAGATATGACATTCCAATTAAATGATAAAGTAACCATTTATGCAGATGGCAGTGTTTGCTACCTCTCTACAGGCTGATGCACCTCATTAAACAAATGGTTGCACAAATTTCCTCGTGGCAGATGGTTCAGTAAAGAATATCAGTAAAGAATTTGGGCTATTTTCACATATGTTCTCCTACAGCAAGGAAGCAGGACCCTCTGATGTTTGATCAAAAGCACTATCTCATTCTTTCCTGTCTGGATTTGTGGAATATTTTCTCTTGACCTTAATGGTGGCATACCAGATCATTCTTTAAGGAAAGCATTGGGCAAAGTGGTGCGGTGAGGCTGCCTTTGAGCAGAGGCTGGTGTTCAAGCAAGAGTCAGAAAGAATAGCACAGGGTAGGCAACAGAAAGAGCAGTAGAGCAGGCTGGGAGTTAGGAAGTCATTCAGATTACTAAACAGATGTGGAGCCAAATGTTGATGAGCTCCATCAACATATGAATGACTGTGGTGACTCTGTGAACCATCTCCACATAAAATGTATAAACCAGATATTTAAGTCATTTGTTTATTAATTTAATATATTAGAGTTAGTAACTTTACATAATAAACTTCACATTCAATGCAATTCTTATCCCTGAATAGAGGACAAAGAACAGTGCTACTACAGCCGCTTCCATTCCTTAAAGGAACAGAAAGAAACATAGCAATGAGAGCATCTAGATCACAGCATGAGCTCAAAGGTGTTGTCATTCCCATCCTGTGCTCAGAGAAAGTACATCAGCAAATGGCTTTCATTTGTCTTGAAAATCCCAGAAGAAAAAAAAAAAGTAGCAAGTTGCATAAATTGCAGAAGGTGGACTAAAATCCAACTGCACCTCAAATTCAGTCTTCTCGAATGTCATTTAAAATTTGTAACAAGGTCCAAATAATCCAAGTCATTTGAAAGCTCAGTTTCCATGGTGGTCTCTCTAGTGACGTCAGAAGTGTGGACCTTTAGAAACATCAGCTTGTTTGGGTTAGTTAGTTGGTCTGGTCAAAATGGAAAAGCATGTTGAATTCCATAGCATGTGGACTGGCTGTGCTTTGAATCATACCTTTTGCATCTGAATTTTAACATGCTGCTTGGCTGAAATTTCAATTCAATATTGACTACCTCTGAAGACTTTTGTTACCTGTAGTGAAATAAAATTCAGCATGTGATGAGCTAAGTGTTGATCTTAAATATGTCACTTTCCTAATGCATACTTTTCACCATAATATTCATGTCTCCACACTTCATTGAAATCACTCCAAAAATGTGTTTGTTTCCCTAGATGTCAATGGACTAATACACTGCTTAGTTGTTCTGCCCAGGGGTATATTTATTCTTAGTGAGCTAGGTATGCTCAGGAGGTGTTTAGACTAGTATGACAGGGATGCACGACTGACAGAAAGAAGTGATAGACCCTATCCAACACTATAAATAAATATGATAAATGAATAAAAATTAATAAAAAAAATCATGAATAAAAAATGTCATTTACAGTGGGTTCTCTGAACCCCAGACAGGAGTATGTTCTGGAAGAGCACAGGAATCTGCAGTTGTATGGCCTCTGTCCCAGAGAAATACTAGATGGCATTTCTGAACAGTTTAGCAATCATGGATAAAAAGTCTATTTTCATAAACCCACAACAATCATGTTTTGTTTTGGAATAAAAACAATGTTGATATTCTGATACAGTTCCCAGTACCCTTTCCTGAGTGTGTTAAGAAACTCCTGAAAGATTGAGGCTTGGAAGAGAATTTGAAAACTTTAGCTAAATTATCTGGATGATTTCCTACAGAACAACTGCTGAATTTACTAGCACTCAAAAAATAAGAACAGCTAAATAAGTAATGATTCTGAACTTGAAACCCTGCAGAAGTTACTGTCTGAGCTGTTAGTACTTACCTATTTGGATTTATTTAATCTGCATATGAAATAGGAACCCATGAATATGAAGAAGAGGACGGAGCCTGCTATCATTAACGCCAACTGCAGCACACCCAGCATCTGGAGAGGACCGACAACTTTTTTCCTGAACATTTCTGCTTTCTCATCCCCAATAACAGCAGTCTGAAACAGTGCAAGAAAAATGTCAGTGAAAGGTAAGTATGCAAGGCCTCATTTGCTAAATATATTCTTAGTATGTGCAAATCACAGCATGAGTTTAATTGCCCAATTTCAGAGCACCAAGACTGAAAAAGCTGGGTTGTGTTTTTTTTTCTTTTCTTTTTTTTTTTTTTTTTTTAACCACTAAAGATTAGTAGACAGAAAATATACTCACCTCATTTAGCCAAAGAATAGGAAAAACATAAGGGTTTTTAACTCTTGATAAAGCTCTGAAATGAGAAAATAAAATAGGAATAGCATGTTACTTTTAGTTTGGTTCATAAGCCCAGTCTCTACTTAAAGATTTCCCCCCTCTTCTTACTACATTTCTACCTTCCAGGTGTATCTTTTTAGTATAGTTCTGGACTGAAAAAAAAAAAAAATCCTACAATCAATAACAGCCCTTGTATATATTGGGCAGCCATCTCTTTTCATCTAGTGTTCCACACATGCTTAGTCAGAAAGAAGATGAAAGGCTGGAGACAGAGAGGAGTCGCTGGGAGAGTCTGAAGAGTTGTGTGATGTTTACCTGCCAGCTATACAGAATTCCAAAATGCATGTTTGAACACGTACATTTGGGCCAATGAAGAGAAAAGAAACAGCTAGAGAACTGCCAGTCCTTGTGATAAAATCCATCTAGTGACAGAGCACATGTAAATTCTCTCTTTCATTGGGTTTATTACAAATAATACATTTTACCTTCTAGTTCATCCTCATGACCCCCATTTGGGCTTTGTAAGAATATTATTTTTAAGAATATATTATCTTGTAAGTTTCTGTTGAGAAATCAAAAGTGTGTTAAAATACTTGGGTGGTGTCTTGCTAAAGAATGCTCGCTCTTTTGCTGAAATTTATGTTCTCTGAAAAACTGCGACTGCTACTTTTGCAAGAAAGATGAAAAGGCTTTGTGAAAGATTTTTATTTCTTTTTTTCCCCTGCTATATTTACTGGCATTCTCAGTGACTAGTCGGCTCTCTTGAAAAAAGTATTTAGAAACAAAATAAAGTAGTACTTACTCAATTTTTGGTGCAGGCTTCACAAGGAGGTTTACTTGTAGCCTTTTTGCAAATTGTAGTGTAAACCCAGAGGTCTATAACCAGAAAAAAAAAAGCAAAACCAATAAACAAACAAACAAACAAAACAAACAAACAAACAAAACACACACACACAAAACAAAAACAAAAACAAAAAACCCACCCTGCATTAAATTAAATTTTTTAATTGGATACTTAAGCCTCAAACATGGACTGTCAAAAAGCAGTTTTGTATTATTTTATTCTTATGTTTTGAAGGATTCCATTTTTATGAAATTGTAATATTTCTAAGGGTCTCTCATTTCTCATACAATTCTGATTTTGTGGATTTACTGTAGTGACTATTTCAATTTGCAGTTAAAACTGAAGGAAAAAATATTAAATCAGTCATAAAATTTTTCATATAGAAATATGTTGCTTTAGGTTTTGTTTGTTTGTTTGTTTGTTTTTTTCCACCAGAAATTAACTGATTTTTCTTTTTTGATAGAAAAGATGTTTAACTTGCATAGGGCCAAAAATAAACATTTCATGTCAGAACTAACATATCAAAACAAAGGTCAGATTTTTTTTTTTTCAGCTTCTTCTTTTCTCCTTTGTCATCTACAAAAACAAGACAGTGTAATACTGAAAATTTCATATCAGGTGTAGGAAATTTTGGTTGATGTCTCTGTTCCAAATAAAATGAAATGAAGATTTAATTTTAGATCTACTCATTGAAGTTGCATAATTTAATTATCAAATTATATAAAAAATAGGAGAGAAATCATGAATTTTAGTTTTTCATTCAAATTCAGAGCAAAATAAAAATTTTGCACCCTAAAATTCATCACACAATTCAAAAAACTTTGGTAAATATACTTAAAGTTAATAATCTGAATCACTGGATCAGAAGTAGAGGCAAAATTGGAGGCAATCAAAATTAGAGATGCCATAAGAATCCAAGTTACAAAGCTTATATTAGTTCTGTTGTAGACTAGGCTGTTCAGACTACTAGTAATTTTCTTGGAAATAATCTGATCTATATGAATTTAATTTCAATGTAGATAATAATGATACAAAAAATTGCTAGTTATAGAAAATTAAAAGAAAAGAGGGAAGAGAACTTTCATAGAAAGTAATTTTCTCAAAGTACTTAAAGTTCATAGAAATGCTATAGCATTCTTCAAAGCCTGCAGAATCTATTTAATATCATATTCCAAATGAGGAAAAATCAAAATATATATTACAAACTATGAAAGTAGGAATGAGACAAATTTCTGCTTTAAATTTCACCCGCTAAAACCATAACACTTTTGTGAGCATATCTTGCAAATGCAAGCCTGAAAATATTGTATCGTCTGCTCATCCCTCTGGTAAAAGTCCTACTTTACTACAGTTAAATTTAAACACTGCGAGTTTACTGAGTTACAATTGTTAAATATTTGGACTTACAGGCTCTATATCTAGAAACGTCTCGTGCTCCTGCTCATTTGGGCTCAAGCCTTCAACTTCTTGCAATATAGACTCACTTGCATGAAGAAAATGTGGCAGTGAGATGAATACCGGTTTTCCTATTTGAAAAAACAAACTCACTCGAAACATGCTTTGTTTCAGTGCTCATCTGAAGCCATTTTCCATGCAAACATAGCTTTTGATATAGACACACAATCCTGACAATAATGTTAATTGTCCCACAACCCCAAAAAAAATTTGGGCATTTCTGTGATTCTGCTGTTGTGAGGAAAATTTTCATGGTGAAATAAGTTGTAGTTACGAATCTTGCTTTTCTGTGTCTACACTGTGGAGCTGGCAATGCTCCCAGTTTCATGCAGAGATGAGGACCTGGCTGTCACTGTTTCACCCTACTTTCATAATTTTGTTTGAGTAGAAAGCATCCTGAAGGGTACCCATCCTGTCTGCTCTGCACCAAAAGCCAACGCTGCATATTTTTAGTTTATTATACTGATTTTATACTAAGCCAGTAGTGTCTTTCAGTCTTTGCAGGTGTATATAGTTGTGTACACACACACTCATGCACATACCACACCACCCCCCCCACCCCCAGCCCCTTGTGTGTGAAATATCACAAACACAAGGACTGTGACTATCTCTGGCTTTTACACAGTTCCTTCTCCTTTCCTTACTATACATGTATTCCTGCAGTTGCACAGTGATTTGTAGGATTGCAATTTTGCATAGCACTCTGCAGATTACAGAAATATCCTAGTCCTCATTTTGGAAAATGAAGCTCCAGTAATGTGAAAGGTTTCACAGGCAATCTGTGGAATAATTCACAAACAAACGCAAATGTCCTGGATCTTAAAGTAACACCTCAGCTACAGGACACATGCTTTCTCCCCAGCTCAATGGCTTGTTTGGCAGTATCATGTCACTACTATACCTCCTTTGCAGGCACTAATGTCTAAGACTCCAGCTAACGTGCAGTTCTGTGATATGACTTTATCTGTACAGAAGCAATAATTATCTTCAACTTCCACAGGCGATGCAAATGCCTGACGAGGAACTGTGAAACGATAGAGTGGGATTCCCTTCACTTCCTTCTTGCTATGGAAAACTCCATAGATTGATCTGAATATAAAAGAGGAGAAACATTTTTCAATCATTTGGATTAAAAATCTGAATTCATGGCAATACTGCCTAAGGATCCCCCAACTGTCTCTCTTTTAAAAGAAACAAGTACTCCAGGGAGCCAATATCCAGGCTCCCTTCACACTGTTCAGTAGTTGGTAGGGGTGTTCCTCTGTAATGGAAAATATTCCACATTTTCACAAAAGGAGGTACAAGCTCAGAGATGAACACAATACATAAAAAGACTGACAAAAACACTACTAATAAACAATATACACAAAACTAAGGAATCAATTAAGACCTCTTCTCTACACACTCCTACATCCACTGTTACAACATTTTGGAAAGTTTGTGGACTACAGTAGAGATACTTATCTATTTAAAACAGCTCTGCTATAGGTTTTTGCTGACTCAGTGGTTCTAATCTAAGCTTTGTGATGCATGCAACGTTCTTCATTTAACTTTATTCCATTGCATATGAATCAGAATACTACTTAAGCTTGTTTTGATTGATACATTATCAACTGATATATAGATATGGTTGTTACACAGCAGTGTAACCAGGGCAGCAACACTTTGTACTGAAGCCAGAAAAGGAGGAGTTCTGGGTTTTACAATGTAGACAGAATCATTCTCCATGACCTTGTTTCAGCACGACCTTTGTGCAACAGTTACTGTCCTTCATTGTTCATTAAGTGTTAGAATTAAATAGCCAGATGAATATCTCAGACTGTGTACAATCAGTACAAATAATTTTATATTTTCCCCTCTTTGTAGAATTCACTTTTCCATGATTTGTGAAGTGCTTTCCTGTCTGAAGATGCAATTACTTCACAAAACAAACAAACAAACTCTAACTTAATGTAAAAAACTTGATCTTTAAAAACAGTCTGCAAAGCAAATAGCCCACTATAAACCCAGTTAAAAGGAGGCAGCTGTTTCCAGGCAGCAAAACAAATAAAGGGGTAGAACCTCCTGAAGTAAATACACTGTGATGCACTTCAAATCTTTTAATACAGCTTTCAGCAAACCTACTGGAGAACTTGGGGACACTGGATTGCCACAGCAGAAGAAGCAGGCTGAAAAGCCATCAGTATGTGATGTATTAAGTAGATTAGTTTGTTTGTAAATACATAAAAACATCCTGTGAGAAAACATTTTTGAGTGGCTAGTAGATAACAATAAATCCTGTTCTGCATAGATGATGTTCTGCAGAAATGCTGAAGAGAGGCCTAACTGGCCCCTGATGTACCTATTGCCTTCTCAGACCAAATAAGGCAGGCTATAGCCTGGGTCCTGATCTTAAAAGTTCAAGACTTTGAACCCTATAGCCCTCCATGTCTTTCATAGATCTGTAACAGGTCACAACAGTGTCAGATACTCCTGAATCATACAACTACAACTGGCTGAAATTAAATACACTGCGAATAGCTCGCTACTCTACAGAAGTGGTAGAATCAGGTTCTGAATCTCACACATGGGTCATGAGTTTACTTGTGTGTAGGTGAAATGTTTATGTTGAAGAGCCTTGGAGACCTAAGACCAAGCAATGAGGCAATGCAACCGCCCTCTGAAAGGAAAGAGCATCTGGGTGGCACGTGCAGGTGAGCGAGCACAGCAGGAAGGGAGCAGCCTACCTGCAAATATCGGAGGAGAAGAAGCGCAGTATCTGGTCCTTCTTAACAAACGGTGGGAATGATGCTCCGTCTGTGCATGAAATAAAACAAGAGCTTCAAAGCAATTCCACTTAGAAGACATGATTTCATTTCTAGCTCAGTACATAACTGTTACTGTCCTATAAAGCTGTTAAAAAGGTAAATCAAATGAGTCATTTATGAGAAAGTATTTATGTAAGTTATTGCACAGTGGCACGTACTCCGTAGATAAGACTGAATTGCTGTTGAAAGCGGGCCAGATTACGGCGGCTATGTTTTCTTTTTCTACAGATGTGAATCTCTGGGATCAAGCCCATTAAAAACATAAAAACCAGTCCTGCTTAATACAAATCCCAATGCCTGTTGCTACTGCTTCAAGGTTTATGCAGTCTAAAGACCTAAACCTTTCTAGAAATGCCTTGTTCACCTGCAGTTATGGTACTCAGTGCTTAAAAGAGACACAGCTTTAGACTTAAAACCCACCTATTTAATAATCTGTGCCAAATCTTTTTTCACCAGAGATTTCTCAAGTAGACCTCTTCTTTGTAAGGTGAGATCCTCTCTATAGCTAATGGAGAGAAGGAAGCACTTCTAGGGCACAATTTATCTCACCCCATGTTAGACATGTAAAATAGGCCAGAGAAATAGTGCTTTGGTGATGTCTCTTTCTTCATCTATTATAGAAAGAACACAGTCAGCCAGTTCAGAATCATATTTCTGCACTGCAAGGATCCAGAGTGAAGTAAGAGGACTCTCTGCCATTTTCAGTGTTGAAACAAACCTTTAACCAGCACATTTGTTAGTTCTTGCTACAACTTCTATTTAGTTTCTTAGTCAGCAGGCGTAACTAAGGGATTGAAAACATCTGTAGTGTCTTTGAATCTAGTTGGCAAGACCTAGAAAGCTAAATTACATATTGCCATTTGCCCACTGCTGACAGAAGCAGGTTTTTTTCTTAAAGAAGAGCCAAGATCATCCTAGACACACACTATTTCTAAATCTGGGCAGTCTTGGAAAATTTGCAAACATGGACTCATTTCAAGCCCTATATAAGAGTACTGCTTAATATCTTTATCTAGATATTTCCTAATACTATATATGGTGCACTTTGGTGCAAAATCTTACAGGATAAGAAGAAATTCTCATACTTACAAGAATTTTTAAGCCTGTTGCTTCTCTAAACACATGGTCACTCCTGAGCAGTCACATCGAATGCTATTGCAAACCATGTGATGACCTTTCCTAACAAGGAGAAGCTCCACACTTTCACTGTAATGGAGCACTTATTCTAGTAAATTGAGTATGTTTAGTCCATCAGCTGTGGAAGAAGAAAATCTGACCCAACAAGAAAGGGTTTCAGGCTCCATAAAAAAGAAGGAAAGTCCCAGAACCTATGAAAATATTGCCTCCTATAAAATTAATTACACAGTTTAAAAAGTAACTAATTCTTCCTGATTCACAGACTTTGGGAAAGTCAGATTCTTGTAAAGTACTTGAAATACTTCAACATAACTTGTCATGTGCTCTGGGTTATAAGGAAAATTATCTATTCTGGGCAGAGAAAGGGAAAAGGAAAAAACAAACAAACAAACAAAAAAAACCCACCAAATAAGACAAAACACAACACAAACCCCTGTTTATTTTGACACTCATTCACTGAAGGCCTACAGCTTTCTGCAAAAGCTTCTATCATGACATTGGCCAGCCTCAACTCAACAGATTCTGATATCCTGACAGTGATGCTTTCACTTATCAAGAAAAGTATAATCTTGAACAAATGTATCTTAAAGAACTCAACTATTTTCACATGCATTCCAAGACCAAATTAAAAAATGTTCTTCTCTAGCTTACTCATCCCAAACTAAACTAGTTCTCCTCTTTATCCCTTTGCACTTGCTAGTGGCCTACCAACCACCTGTCTGTCAGCCTTCTCCCTTGTCACCTCAATTTCTTTTCATATCTTAGTAAAAAACTTTTCTGTTCATTCTGGTGCATTTATTTTTGTTTTTCAACACTGTAAATGAATGTATATTATAAGAATGCAAACGTAATTTTCAACTGCTATAGTAAAGAAAAAGAATCTTAGTTATACTGTATCACAAAGGTAATTAATAGAAACAGAGATCTAGATGTCATTCTTGTGTCTCTTCCACATCTACTGTAGGTGAAGAGAGGTGTGCATTTATACATAAAATAGCATACAATAATTTATAATACATATATTCTAATAGATACACATATATGCATGTATAATAGTAGTAGTACATGCACATTCATATTTATATAGACATTTAACATACAGACTATAGAACTGTCAAAGCCCAGGGCAATTAACTTAAATATTGCACCTTGTTATTCCCTTGCAATGTCAAGAAACGTGTTGACATTTGAAAAAGCATTAATAGGCTCACCTGTGCCATTAACCAAATCACAGTAACCTTCCCAGTATGAAAGATTCCTTTAAGAGAAAAAAAAAAGTCACGCTGCATGTGGTATATTACACGATGTAACCCATTTCATTGCCTGTATTGCTAAGTATAACTGCTCCTGTATAAGCCAAATCCATTAGCAAAGTCAGGATAGAGATGTTCATTTGCTTACTCAGATAAACTTTACGATGTATTAGAATAGGATATAAGGGATCTAGTTACTTAAGCATGTAAAATGGAAGTAACTACTTGTAACAAAGAATCAATAACTGCCTTAAATCCAAGCTCCGAACAGAATCATCAACAGGTGAGAGAGCTGGTTTTGCTAAGCCAAGGGATTGATTCATCTTCCTTTGAATTGTTGAAGATTTTCCATTTATCTAAAGCTCTTAGCGAATCAAGACTTAAAAGCCATACTTTGAAAATATGTATGGTTTTAATTATACAATGCTGATACCTTTTGTTTTTATAACTTTCAATTATTGCTGTTTTTTCAATATCTTCTTTCCCAGTATAGACTTTGTAAAGTCCATCCAATGTCTCATTATACTGTAACAGACACAAGAAGAAGGAGTAACTGTTAGAAGTGCTGTATCAGATAATAGCATTGCCACATTTATCTTCCTCACATCAGCTGCCTTAATTTTTATGCACAGAATGATAACTGAAGGCTTTGCCTCCTCACTGGTTTCACTTACCGGGTAGAAGACTCCCACAACTGGGTCCAAGGGGAACGGGACCTTGCTTAAGAAGGGATCTTTGTATCCCCACAGTAATTCTTTCACTGTTCTGTTCTGCAGCATGGTTGACCTAGAAGCTTTAATCCAAGTATTTAATAGTAGCTGTATAAAAGTGTTTGTGTACAAGGCAGGTGCAGCCTAAAACAGAAATAAAATTAATATTTAATATAAAAAGCTGCATGTGCTTTGGATCTAAACCACAGAGACTGACTCCAAAAAAATCTCTGGCAAAGCCATTTTACAGATTTGCAGCTCATTGTAAGTTAAGTTTCAACTTAGAACTGAAACTCCTTAACAAAAGAATTACTGGGCCTAACTTACACAAAAGCAGACAATTTGTCTTTACTGGTTACATGAATTCACTAGATCATCCCTAATCACAGAATCACAGAATATTTGAGTATGGAAGGGACCTCTGAAGATCATCTGACCCAACCTCCCTGCCCAAGCAGGGCCATTGAGAGCCAGTTGCCCAGCAGCATGGTCAGATGGCTTTTGAATATCTCCAAGTAATAATTTCAAACCCCTATCTGTATAAAACGGGTTGGAGTAGTTTCAGTTTTCTATTTCTTTTCTGTCATTTCCATATGTCACATACTTCAGACTCACTCACACGGTTAACTTGTAAAAAAAAATATACAAATCTTGTTCCTTGTTGCCTTAGATAAGTGGTTTAGATTTACTCTTACACTAGCAGCAATACAACTATAATATGCATAAAACAGACCCAGTGTTGAATCATCATTATTTCTTTATTTTGAAAGAATACATATACTTGCAACAAATAAGTCCTTTCTGAACAGCTTTAGTTCTAAATAAGAGGTAGCTTTTCCTAATGCAATAAAGAATAATGTAGATTTTATAGTAACTGGAATGAACATTCCCAGAAGCATAAACACTAAGTCAAATCCCTAAAGGCAATGAATAGCTTGTGGAAAGCAAACAGGAATGATCTATGTTGGCCTGTCAGATGAAGCAGGAAATTGTAACAATTTTGATAAGTAAATTATTCTCTTAGAGCAAGTGCTCGGCCCAGGCCCATTAGTGGGTCACCTCTTTGTACTTATTGCTATGGAGATAGCAGTGGATGAATCTATTTTGCTTTCCTTTCTTCTTGCTGAACCCCACAAATCTTTTACTCTTGTCTGAACTTGAACACAGAGCAAGCAGAAGCATGGATATGACAAGGTTATGAGATAGAGGAGACGTGTATTCAAGCTCCTCAGAGTTAAGAAAGAGTATGCCTCTGATTTCCCTTGTATATTGATGCAAGGTTATGATATAGAAGGTGGTATATACTGTATTGAAGTCAGTGCTGTCAAACGAGACAGTTAGAGTCTCAATAGGAATTTAGGCTTACACTAGCTTGTTTCTTAACAGCAAAATGGGGCTTAGATCCTCTGTTCCCATCTCCCCTGACACAGCTGCTTCCAGCCATAAGTCTATCCTTAGACCTATAAAGAGATATGTGATCCAAAGTGTCGGAGCTGAGCAGCGCTATATAATACCATGACACGAAGGGCTGAGCATAGGAAATAACAACAGGTTTTCAAAAGAGAGAACCTGACCTAAATTAGGACACAGGCAGAACATATCTGGTCTGAATAAGATAATTTGTCTGTATTTATTAGGTCTTTTCTCCCTAAAGAAAAGGAAGCTCAGGGGGACTGCATCACAATATTCCAGTACTTAAAGGTTGGCTACAAAGAGGATAGAGGCTCATTCTTCACAAGGAGCAACATGGAGAAAACAAGGAGAAATGGGTACTAGTTGCCCCAGTAAAGATTTCTTCTTGACAGAAAAAATAAATTGTTTCAGTGAGAACAATCAACCACTAAAATGTAGAGATCTTATCAGTGGAGGTTTTCAAGGTCCGATTGGACAGGGTGCTGGAAAATCTCATCTAGGCTTCCTTTCTCAGAGAGGACTAGGTCAGGTATCCTTTGAGGTCTCTTCCAAACAGGCTTTTCTATGTTTCTGAGACTGATTCTATGATGCCAAACTGTGTTAACACCAAGCACCACTTCACTCTGCCCCTAGCACCCACACTCTCACAGTGATCCTGAACACTCACACGCAGACACCACACAGTTAGTGGAGGACAGTCAGGAAATGCAACCAGGGCTGAATATAAATGTCAAATCTGTAAATGTAACACAAGGGCAAACATTCTCAGCCTGTGACAGCAGAGAAACAGCTGGACTGGAAAGGCTCTAACACCACTCTGTGTGGGGTCCCTTGTGCTTTTCATTAAAGGACGAAGTCTCAGTAGGACAGGAGAGCTCAGGGGATGCCACTGCAGTAGTGCTGGGGGACACCATGGGGACCAAGCTGCTGGGTCAGTGAGGCCATGCATACAGTGAGCATGGGATTAAACCCGACCTCTTGATTTATTCCCACACAAAAATTGACTAGGAGGATGCCTTTTGATACCTCCCATCTAAACTGATGACTTTGCTTCTATTGACAGGAACAAGTAAATTTCCATTACACTGGGAATATAAGGAAGTGTGAATATGTATGCAATATGTCCTCAGATTTTTTTTTTTTTCCTAAAAACAGTAATATAGCTGTTATCAGTGTAGCTGATACTCGTGTCATCTGAATTCACAGAGAGGAAGCCTATGCTGCAGTAGTTTCGGTATTACTAATGTTGACTTCTCCCCTATTTCCTCGAGTATCTCCATATTTGAACATGGAAGTTATGGTTTTGTTTCTTTACTTACAACAACAGCAAGGTTGAGGCATGTGATGGTATCATTTTCTGTTCCAACAGACATATCAGGTTCAAAAAGAGCAACATTAGGCAACATGTAGGATATTGTGCCATCAGAGTGTTCAGTGATATTTTCTTTGGGTAAATATCGCACCCTTGAAATACACAAAAAGAAAACAAAAAAAAATATTTTTAACATTTAATTTTCAAACCAACACATTACCACGCCTAACTGAAGCTTTTTTGAAAGTTAAGGAACATTTTTTCTAGATAATGTTGAACATTTTATAACCACTGACAAGATTATAAACTTCATGTGAATATATGTGTTTTTTTTTTTTTCTCTTGGATATATTTCCTTAGTGGTTAATGGAATTTTTTTCGTGATACTAAAATGAAAAACATTTTTTTAAAACTTTTTATTCAGTACTGGCCCTTATATCTTCTTGTATTCTCTTTTAAATTACATTTTGTCCTAGTTTTTCTAAGCTATCTCATGGTTGCATGTAATTAGAAGGGGATGACTCGGGATAGTTAATAAACACTCAGATTTTGATTTCATAGGCCTGTGTCGCAATAAACCAGATTACAGGTTAAACCCATAATAGGAGTCACTGATAATATTTCATATGCGTGTCAAGATTTATAAGCATTCTTCCAGCTCCACTGAGATTCTCATAAGACTCTCATGCATGCCAAGCCAGCAGATCACTAAGGTACAAATCTCTGAGCTGCTTTAGCTCAACTAGCTGTTTAGCTTTAGCTCAACTCTTCAAGTCCCAATCCTGTCGCTGAACCCTTTGTGGGGGTAGCATCCAACAGGTATCATATGACTTAGTCTACGCTGTGGGTCCACAAAGCTTGTCTTGGCTCCGTCCCAGGGGGATCTTCATTACTCTCCATCAAATCTTCCAGCCTGGGCATGGGGGGACCAAAATGTTCATTTTGAGCATTTGCCCATGGCACAGATGTAGCCAGTGGAGGTGGGCCTTACCCCAAAAGCAGCTGTATCTTGGCCTCTTGAGACTGGTTTATGTGCATGTCATTTAAATTAATAGCTTGATGTGTAGAGCACCTACCTGAAAGTAGGGAAATTTTCTTTCTTATCAATATTACTTATAACTGGAAACAAAAGACCTAAACCAAGGTTTCCCAGCAGAACCGCAGAAACAGGTGTGTTCTCAAGGGCAGTTGTTCTACATTTTAATAAATAACTAAGTATTTAGAGGGAGGTTGAGAGAGACTCTCACAGTGTCACAGTGATTCAGGTATACCAAATATCCCAGGTGAGCACGACCACAGCAGTGATAAGGACTATACCCATAATTTCTTACATAAATTCATCTAAGCTTGTGGTCCCTAAGAAAATAGGCACCATCGCTACCTTCAGAATGTGAAATATTTCTGATGGTGGGAATTCACCTTCTGCAGTATTTTGTAACTGTTTGGTTTCCTGCCTATCCATTTCCTATGTCTTCGCAGGCACTCTATGAACCAAGCATTCTCTGTTTCCAGTGAGGAGTAAACAACCTTTTAGGTATCAAAGCACCTCAGCTTTAAGTGGTGCAATGCAAAACCATCTTGTGAGTATAATATACAACCCCAAAGATATCAAGAAATATCATTTTGGGAAAACAATTTCATAACAAGAGAGTCAGTAATAGCTGGGTATTGGGTTTAATGACACAGGAAGCACCAACTAGTCCAATATCAACATCACATTTAAAATTAAAAAAATGTTTTAAAGCTTGCCTAAATGGGGATGGACTGCTGCATCTGGGCCTGAGCTAGTACATTTAGAAAAAGGAATGCTCTTCGGAGGACAAACTGAAAATTAAAAGCTATAGATTAAAAAAAAATTATAAAGGAACAAAGAAACAAAACATTATTAAAATAAATGAATAATATATGGATGATAAGATCTTGGGTTTAGGGCATCTGGCATATTCTCTTCTCTGTAAAAAGTTGGCAAAAACTGAACAATAACAAGTGCAAATATGCCTGTGTGTTGTTGTGGCAAACACTTTGCTAATGAGCAAACCTTTTTCACAAGAGCAAAAAGCTTCACACCCAGCTATGTATTTCTATATGCATTTTCCCAATGGAAGATTCAATACATGAAGGTGTTTCTGACTGCTGTGAGTAGCTGCAACTTGTCAAGCAATTGGCATTTTGTCAAGTCTGACTAAAACATGACAATGGAATTCCAAAACTAAATTTTAACTCAGAAAAACTTCCTCTGACTTTAACAAAACTTCTGGTATGGCATGTCACATATTCAGTGGGCTTTGCTTACCTGTATGTGTAAGGTCCTCTTTGTTCAAGTATTGGACGTTCTCCTTGGCCTATTACCTCTGCAGGATTTTGTACGTGGAAAATCCAAAACTGCCTGTAAACTGCACTTCCTGGCACAACCCAATTTTGAAAAGCAGCTGTACCATTTGCTATAATAGCTTCCTAAAAGGACAAAGATCAAAGCTAAAATAAATCACAAAAAAAAAAAAAAGAGTGACAAGCTGCATTTACTTTCAGGATGATTCCCAAAGAAACAGAAAAAAAAGGTATTTTATCAATAGGAGGCATACAGTACACATTATTGGTCAACATTTGAAGGCAGCCTGACATTCCTGCACAGTGAGAGCAAAAGTGTGTCCCCCTAAAATAAGTGACTACAAAGCTGATATAATTGTTACTGTAGTCATTAGCAAAACCTTCCTACTGCTGTGGCTGGCCATTGCCTTAGTTGCCAAATACTTGCCAAATACACTGATTATTTGTAAAAAGAAAATCTTTGACTGGTTGAACAATACCCAGTAGTTTTAAGAATCTATAAGCTACTTTTAATACATTTGCAAACAGCCCAGTGGAAGATATGAGAGTTATCTCTGAGTATTACTCAGCCATTAAGTAACTTTGCAACCAGAGAAAGCAAATAGTGTTCTTGCAGGACTGGGTTTTTTTTCTTTTGTCAGAAGTCTTGTCACCGAGTTTCATAGGTCTAGGGAATGAAGGCAAGTTATGGGTATAAGGACAAGACAGGACAACAGGAACCACTCTAGTGTAAGCAAGAGCTGTATGTCTGTGTCATTCAGTATGGTAAGTGTCTACTTGGTCCTTTGGACTGTACAGTGAGAAGGAGACTTTGAAGGTATGTTTCCTGTACTGTCAGGAAAATGCCTGCTTTGCCTTGTCTACATTAGGCTTCTTTCTATGTGATTTTTCCAGAGCCCTGAGATAATGTAGCTTTTCCCCTTGGTGGTAAAAATTCAGAAAAGCTTTTTCAATAAGAAGAAAAACATAGGTTGTCTGGCTGCAACATATAAAATATTTTTTATTACAGTGATATATTATTAATTAATTTGCAGAGCTCATACAGTCTCAGGAATTAAAAGCCTAGAATGCCTCCATATAGCAAGAAAAGAGATTTTCAATTACAAGCTGCTGTATTTTATTTCTAGCAAATATAAAAAAGATACGACCAATTAAGAACCCCCCACTGTAGTTAGAAACAAATGCCATGCCCTGGAGAGCCTGTGACATGGTCAGGGCATTGTCTGTGGAAAACCTGGATGTACGGTGGAGTTGCAAATGCCTTGCTGTTACTGTAAAGCACTAGGCTTTCTGCCTGAATATCTGCTATAATTTATGTGCATTTGTGTGCGAGGGGAAGGAAACTGCTGCAGCAAATGTGTTATCAGCTTGAGGTCTTGCACTCAGACCCGACAGCTAAAATGCTCTTCAGCTTTGTTTTGAAAACTTCAGGAGGCCAAAGGCTCTATCACAGCTGTGACTTAGCATTGGGCAGACCATCTCCTTGAAGAAGAGAGAAAAATTTACATGATTTGGAAATCACCTTTTCATTTTCCACAGAGAGGTGCTCTGTTGATCTGGGAGAAGCAGTCAGTCTGCTCAGTCTCTCTGTGCTCTATACTCAGCAGTCCTGGGATGGGGACAGATGCCAGGATTTAATATTCTGCCTTTGTGTAACTGGAGTAAGGAAATGGTTAAGGATTCCTGGCAGCTACATGGTCAAGAGGACAAACTCATCTCTCTAGAAATCAACAACACACAGGCACAGAGGTGAACAGAATGTTTCAACCTTGTGACAATAGCTTTTAAAGTAGTATTGCTTACTTCTTAAGAGACCTTTTCCCATTGATCGATTCCCCTCTCCCCTGATAAGCCTTTGCTGGGGGCTAAAAGAGCAGAGAACGATATGCTAACTCCCCTGCCACTGCAGAGTTTGCTCAGAGTGCCTGAGCCATAGGACCTCCTCTCTCTTCATAGACAGGCACAGAAGCAGTCCCCAACCTGCCTCCATCTTTAGACATTTTGAGCACGTTGAAATATATCTATTCTGCAGTGATCACACCTTACGACTTCGTGTTGACATGGAAGAACATAAGGAACATGCTTCCTCATGGCTTTCTCCATGTAAATGATCTTTTTCTTTTCCAAAGTGTTGTATCTTTGCCTCTAATCCTCTCTCTGTTATTGCAGGGAAAGCTGAATGTGAAGGACATTATACTGGCTTTTTACTACAGCCAGGACAACCCGTTGTGTAAACTGAGACTGTGGGCTATGTGGTGAGCCTTTTAATGGACTTTCTGTCCTGGCCTTTACTACACTTTACTATACTATGTACTTCAGCCTAGAACAAATTTGCTGTCCACCTGAAGAAGTGGGGTGGCTCTCCTTTATTTTTCATGCAAGGATAACTACTATATCCATACTATACCCTTAGGAAATGTCAACAGAAAAAAAAATAGTTTTTTGCATTGTATGAAGAGGTTCCTGTGACCTGACTACATGGGACACAGCCAGGTCACAACAAGTTACTGTGTGGATTTGTAGCCTACCATTTACTCTGTGCTAATGTCACCATGGTTAAGTTAGGGGATACGTCAAGAGAACAGTTGATCCAACCTGTAGGCAAAGGGGCAAGTTGGCTTCCACAGCCCTGGGCACCTAATCTACACTCCTCCCCCTTCCTTTATGTCAGCTCTCATTCCTCAAGGAGCTGTTTTTTGGGTTTTAGGTTTGTTTTTTGTTGGGTTACCTTTCTACGAGTGAGCCACTTGGCTCAGTGATGTGAGTGGAGCAAAGGATCAGATGAGAACCAGAGTTAAAACAAGGGAAGCAGCAGGACAAAAGAGGGAGGAGGAGGAAGGGCGCAAGACCATTATTTTTGGTGGCATTCAGCCATTATTGTTAATAACTTTTCTCCCACAAAGGATGTGAGTATGATTCTCTGTCATATACCTTGAGAGTGCTAATGATTGATTAAAAAGGAAAAAAATCTAGAGCTCCGTCTTTATTGATGTCTTAATTTCATAAAACTAATATTCTTACACCAGTAAGCCCTTGGCTTTTGGCTGTCTGATCACTGATGAAGCCAGTCCTAAATACTGCCTCTTTCTATGGTTAGTCACTTGTATATTCTCTTAGTAACACTGCTAAGCTTTGTGATATTATGAAAGGTAGAGTAATTTGGAAAACTACTAATTTTCAGTTGATAATACAAAACACTTCTCAACTCCCTAGTTATCCTACATCAGCTCTAATATCTTATGCAATAGTTAATAATTAACTATTCAGTATATAATTGCTACACAGCCAAGTTCATCTCATGACCTAACTGTGCAAGACTGAGTAAAATCAATGGGAACTTTAACACTTTTTGGTTTTTATACAATTTTTTCCCCACTTATAGAGATTCCATTGGCAATACGTAAATTCAAGAAATTCTGAGCAGTCAGCAACAGAAGCTTGTTGTACTTTGTTGCTTTACCCTAAATTCAGTGATCATGGTTTATGATGAAGAAATACAAAACGTAAGACAAAACTGGTGTATTGATGAAAGATCTGGCCAGATGGATAAAATACAGCATTTTGTGGGAACCGAGAGATGTCTTGAATACTTCAGGCTATAAGACAATTGTCATTAGTTTATGTCTGTGTTGTATGTGTTGGGCTGCATATGTAAGTGGAAGGAAACAAACAATACGATTCTGTAAAACTGAGTAAGTTCCAGGAAAGCTAGTAATCTTCTTTTATTTTACAGCTAAAAGTACAAATAGCTGTTTATTACTTCTTAAATGAAGATTATTAGCTTATTATTAGACTTTCTATTCAGGCTTTGTTGGATCAAGATGTTTAGTCCTTTTTTGGTCCATGATCATAAAAAAATAAGGAAGCCAATCAAGTCTATCAACGGTAATGCTGGAATATGTGTGATTAGATCATTGATGTCCTGCTGAGAGCCAGCAGTTGCTTTAGCTTCATCAGCTGAGGTAAAAAGTGGCATATAAATGTCACAGACACAATTTTAAATTAAATTTAAAAAAATGTTTCCTATGCCTCCAAGGATCTGAGTAGATATAACCAATCATAGATGACAGATATGTCAAAAGACAGCTGGCTAAACATAATAATAACTAAAATTGATAGCTTTGTTTCTAAAAATGGCAGAGACTAACCCTGAGGACTCCATAGAAAGAGTGCAGCACTGAGGCTTTGTGGCAAATCATACACTATTCTGTATTATCAATTCATCAGGAATTAAATATATTAAACATTATGTGTCTTCTGATAACCTCCTGAGCTCACACATCCAGGTAAAAAGGAAAAGCTCTTAGACAATTGGTGTTAAAGATTTTTTTTCTGGCAAATGAATCAGCCACCAATGGGTTTGATTGATTAGACCTAACTGGAAAAAAGGAGCTGAACAGCTAAAAAAAAAAAATATCATAACTGAAATTATGGCAATTTTGCCAAAATAAATAATATTGATTTGATGGAGGGAAAGGCGAAAAGTAGTAATAAAGCCATATCAAAATATTTCCTTTCAATAATATCAGATGCAAGCTTTCCGATTTGTTGTTTTGAATTCACTTTTCCATTTGCTTTTTTTTTTATGTTAGACCTGATAATAGCTAATAATAATAGTAGACACGATAATGGACAACCAAAATGTGTGGGGTCATTTAAAAATGTACATTTTGATAGCCTCGAAAAAAATAGGTTTTGTAAAGAACTCTGAAGCTTTCACCTCTCACTCCTAATTTACCACGGACAGTTTTCTAAAGCACTAAGGCCTTCAAGGAAAGTCATCTCTCCCTTCTGGGTAGATTCAGTGTTCAAGTAAACTAGGATTTTTGCCCTTTGGAACTGATATCAAAGGAACGTTTTTAGGGGGGAAGTCTCCTTTCCCTGAATAGTATCAGAGCTGAAATAGCATTGGACTAATCTTGTCCACTGGATCTCTGCCAAGATGCTGCTGGTAGTGCCATTTTGAGAGTGCTCTTCAAGTAACAGTTTCTTTAAAGAGCTTATAAAAAGATTCAGAAAATGTATGTAATGTTGAAATTCTTTAAACCTGCTGGAAGCAGGAGTAGAAACAGGTTAGCCCAAAACCATCTTGCAACACGGGTACAGCAGCCTGGGGTTGGAGAATATAGCAGTGTGTTTTGTGGAGCACTGAGGTGCATGAAGAGGTGAAGCTTAGTGTTACATATCACTTGGACTTTGTTTGGGTTGTCCACCCATGGACCGTTCACGGGTGGAGAACAGCACTTGCCTGCTAGGAGATAACAGATTATAACCCGACCCTCCAACAAATTTCTAAGGGCACTTGAGATTGCCTATATGCTTGCAGATCCTTTGTCTTTGCTGTGACTGCAGTAGGCAGCCTTCCAGCAAAATATGCCCTGAAGTGTTTACTCAGGCTATGCTTGCTGGAGAGTAAATCGACTACAATATAAGTTGCTAAAGCTTCATATCAAGTTAATTTATGACAATTTGACTCACTATAGTATGAAGTGTCCTAAAACCACTCAGGTGAAAAAAAAAAATAATTCAGCTTGTCTTTCTTTAAACCAGCAATAACATTTTTTAGCAAAATTAATTTCCCCTAGAAATATAGATTTTGTCTTACTGAGTTGCTATCAATTTGTGCAAAGAACTAGGACTTACTCTGAGATAGGATAGACAGAGAAACAGCTAGGAATCTTTTCATGTTTTGGACTATGCAGAATTTAAACAAGATTTTGCTTATAATGGTGATATATGAAAAAGTTTTTTATTTTTGTTAAAAATATGTAATTTTGACATTTGTTTTCACCCTGTGGGTGAGGATATAGATTCAGGCCTTGCATCATATAAGTCCAAATGGAAATATAAATGTTTCCAGGCCATACTTCAGAGAACATCTCGATCATTAGAGATTTTCCTGTCTAGCCTTGAGAAAATCAAAATAAAATTGTCATTGAAACTGATATGTTTCTACAAAAACATTTCCTTAAAATCTGGCATTTGCAAAACTGAAAGGTTTCAGAAAAAAAAAATGTGTTTTCATTTTTTTTGGCTCAGCAGACCTTTTTCTTTTGCAGTCAGTACTGTATTTATCCTAAATATAACTCCATTAGACAAAATATTTGTTTTTCTTACTATCCCTTTCATCCACACAAGTAAATCAGAATTAATTAGATTCAAGTCTCTCTTGAGCATCTGCTGAACTGATGACTCACTTCAGCTCTTGCACCTTGGCAAATCTTTTCTGAAAAGGAATTATTTCATGGTCTCACTAACTATTCAACTTAATAAATGGGAAAAAAATAATATAGCATGACTTACATCTAGGTAAAAAAGTATCCATTGACTTAAATAAATAAAGCCTCAATAGATTTAATCTTTTATGTTTTATATGAATACTTGTACAAATTTTCCTTCTTATATATACATCAAACCAGCTGCCTTGGAACAGGTACAAGTATCACACATAATCACATGCATTATCACGTGCAAACATGACCACAATGCAGAAAATTATAAAGAGGTTGAGAAAAAAATTACTCTGTCTAGTACTTTACCACTAAGAACTCGTGCAGGTATAATTTCATGTATAGGCATTTGCAAACCATGCTGTATGACTGGTTCATTATTATAAGTAAACAGATGAACACATAGCATCGCTAATATGTGTAATTTGCTTTGAAAATACTTAATAGCATAAGACAATACTCTGGACTAACTCAAAGTGAATATTACACGTAAGGAGATAAAAAGTTTTAAAACTATGTACCTTATAGAAAACCTGCCATTTCCTGAATTCATCAATCAAATAAAATTGACAAATACAGAGATTATGACTTAAAAATTTTAAAAATTAAAATGTTATATAAAAGGTATTTTTAAAATTTAAAAAAAAAAGTTTTGGTAGAATATAGGCACAGCTTCAACAGACAGTTTAACATTTCCTGACAGTTCAAATATCCACCTTCTCTGTTGACTTTAACAGCTGTTAAGGGCAGTCTTTCACAAGGGCCTTTGACTACGTATCTCCAAGATCCTCACAGTCTTCAGTGCCACAGAAGATCATTAGGAAGACCAGCCATCAGCTAAAGACCTTAAAGGTTCTAGATTTTTAACTGTAGGAGAGCCCACATTGCCTTTAGTGACCCCAAGAAAACTCTGTGTCTCCATGGTGGACACACCAAGGCTTCCATTGTCTTTCATTCCAGATCACTCCAAGATTGGCAACTACTCCAATTTAGAACCTCAGTTATACACTCTTTTAACCAAAGATTTAACAAATTAACTTTTCATTTTTCTTTAAAGACAAAATTAGATATTAAAGGGAAAAAAAAAAAAAGTATCTGCCAGGTCTACAGTACTCCAGCTGCTCTTCAAACTCCTTGAGTCAAGGAGATGTATATGAGCAGATCCTGCAGACTGATGGATCACATTGACTTGGATTGTAATAATCTCAGCATGTGAGGTGAATGCTTGCAAATGTAGGATAAGATTCTGCATTAGAAATTTGTTTAGATTATTTGCAGTATTTATATATAAGTGCATGGAATGAATATCAAAATAAGAAAAAAAAAATGCCTAGAAACAGGAAAGTAGATCATAATGCAAAAAAAAAAAAAATTAAGAAACTTTAAACAATTATAATAAAAAGAAAAATTTTAAAAAATGCTTACTTCTAAATCACATTACTGGAAATGCATCTTGTAAACAATAATTTGACTTCTCATGTGAAGCATGAAAGAGAGCAAATAAGTAAACATGCCAATATAATTAATATATTTTAAAAAATATTGCTGTACTATCTATTCCCAAGGAAGTCTGGATTGCATACATTAAAAAAAAAAAAAAAAAAAAAAAGGGGGGTTAATAATAGAAAAAAAAAAAAAAGAAGAAAGCAGAAACAGAACAAAAGATTTAGAAAAAATTACTGTTCAATAACCATTCAATAAATGTTCAATAACCATATAGACTAAAAAAATATAAAGAAAATACTTTACTTTTTACCTTTTTTATTGCTTTGCCTATAATGTTGTCTCCAACTGGTATCAGAACTCCTCCAAAGATAGCCAGCACAGCACCAATGACGGCCCCAACGAGGAGCCCACAGTGTCTGTTACAGGCCATTCCTCTCCTTTGTCAGGGTGCAGGCAGGCAATGTAAAGATATCCCTGCTGTAAGGCTTGATGTTTTCTCCCTCACTTCTTGGTCCCAGTAGACTCAATGATCTTCCTGAGAGAAGCTGCTAATATAAGGACAGCGTGGAAAAAAAATGACATTCCAAAGCTCAAAGTACAAAGTGCATGAGGTGAAGCAGGTAGGAAGATAACATGTCAAAACCAGCCAGCCAGTGGTAGCCAGAGTCAAAAAAAAAAAAAAAAAAGAGTTGCACGTACTTTCACTTGTTACATATCATTATCTTTTTTCATTCTGGTTCTCTAAAAGATCGATAGTTCTTTCACTATTTTTTTTTTTTGTGTTGATTTTTTTTTTTTTCCCTCTGTTGCATTAGGGAAAACTGACATCATTATTCAGGTGATGCTCCTCCTGAGGCAAGCACTTTCTCTAAAATATCTCTGTGCCACAGGAGGTGGCTGTAGCCCTTATTTTTATTACAGCCTGCAACATCCATGGCTCCCACTTCAGGCAAAGCCAGGACTTTACACCACTGCTGTGAGCTACCCAGGAGTTTCTGCATTACACCAGTAAGCAAGTCTTCAAGGCCCATTGGCACCTTGGTGGGAATGGCAGCCTCTAATGTCATTAGAAGCTCGTCTTTCCAGATCTCTGTCTATCAACAGTCTACTACTGAAGGGGTAAAACTTTGCTTTTGCAACTTCATGACAAAAGCACAACTCTCCTTTTGGAGCTACTTTCTTATCATCACCTAGTTTCATCAATCCCAACTGCCTTACAGAAAGGCAGACTTCTTAAAGCCAGTCTAGATTCTTATCTTGGAAAGATGTAACACCTTATATTTCAAGATCATCCAATTGCACAAAAAAATATGTCTTCAGTTACTCACTGGAAAACAACAGTTGCTAATAATATGTGTTAACATATCTTCAGATATGGTCACTAGTGAAAGGTGTTGTGAAGAAAATCAGAATGACACTAGTGCTGAGAGATGTGGTAAAACATAAGCTCACAGTGATGTCTTTTCCTATTTGTTATTGTTTATGAATAACTGAAACAAAGATCTGCCTAATTTGCATTTATTCGTGCTTAGGAATTAATCACATCCAAAGAATTCACAAGTATTTTTTGCTTTAGACCTTCAACTAACAGAAATATGTTGGGTTTTAATTGAGATTGTCACTGTCTTTTTTATTCTTACCAATTTCCATTAATATGTTGTGATCACCTCTAAATCAATTTCAAAGCAGGTACTATTTCTCAAGTTTATTACACATTCAAGGCCAAACACAGAGAGCAAAGGAAAACAGCAAGATGGAGTGGAGAAACAACTCAAACTGAATTCCCAGTTTGCTCATAAGGACTAAAAGGCTAGAAAGTCTCTATGGATTTCTAAATAGTAAAACAGGTGTAGGAATAACATGTGTTTTATTTTTGTAAATGCAGTTATGAGACGCCTTTATTACCAAAAGGATGCACACAGCATACACTGACATATAAGGTACCATGGTCAGCAGGCTAGTGATGTGTCCTCCCACATCCTACCCAAGTCACAGTTATATCCATATCTGAGCCCAGACTGCTCCTTGGAGGAGCTGCTTCCTCGTTTTGGAAATCCACATTTGCCTGCTCTTACAGGAGCAGCAGTTTATATCTCCCTTGCCATTAACAATGACTATTTCTGTACTTTTGAGCTTGTTTGGTGTTTTAATTATTTCTCCTTAGACACTTGCAAGCAGAATGACCAAAAGACTACTTGCAAACTGAGAAATAGTAGTGTGGAAATACACAAATTTAATATTTAAAATGGAAATTAACTCTTGTATAAATGTTTAAAGAGGGCTTTTAGATATTGTCAGACTTTTTTTTCTTGGCTTATATACTCAAAATTTTTAAATACAGTAGAAATACACCTTCCACCAAACTATATTTCCATCTAAGTTTCTACAAGCTGTTCCAGTGGATTTATTTTATGTTAGGCAGATGAGGTGTCTCTCATTAACACTAGCAATAAACAGCTACAAAGCAACTGGCTGCTAATAACTTGTGTGCCTTCCAAGCTGTTGCAAATTGTAAAATATTCACCCTTCTCCCACCAAACACAATGCAAGAGCAGTCTAGACGTATCTGAATTTATGGAATTCAAATTATCCAGTACACAACTGCACTGAAGAGCCCTCACAACATAACACTCAATTTCACATAGAAGTCAACAAGCAATTCTCTATCACAACTGAATATGAATTATGAAGATTAAAGTAGAAATTTTCAATAAGATCACAGTTGTGGAATCCATACTCAAGTGAAAATTATGTACCTTAAGCCAAAAAGCAAGTACCATAGCAAAATTAGATACTGTTTATGAGACCATAGTATAATTTAAGCTTAGATTTGACTACAGGATTAATAAGAATATTCACCCCATTCTATAGTGCTGGGTATGCACTTTTTAATATTGTTTAAAATGTCCTTAACAGAATATTGGCAATGGAAATGGTCCATTCTGAAAAGACAGTTTATGAGCAACTGCATAGGAGGAAAGATACAAAATGTTATTAAACTTTTTCTTCCTTACATAACTTATGCTTCTGTACATGTCAGTTTAAAGCAAGCATTTATAAAAATCAAAGAATATTATCTATATTTGTCTAATGATTTCTTCTTCTCTAATAATAATTTTTAAATGCTACTTGACATGGCATTACTTCAATTCTGACAGACAATTAGATTTATTGCCCCAAATGAGAGTAACTACATGGGAAAGAATCAATCTGTACAGTGGAAACTAAATTGGAGTTTGAAAATTCCTTTTAAGAGTTTCAACACAAACTCATGCTGTTTCTTTAAACCTAATTCCAATTTCTTCAAGGTCAGGTGGGATTAAAACTCCTTGAAAATTTTAGGATACACATTTGCAGGAGAGAGGTTGTTTCCGCTGCTTTTTTTTTTTTTTAAAAAAAAAAAATCTTTGATATACATTGGAATTACAGTTTCAAGCTTTTTATCTGCAACAGTAAATGCTACAAATACCACTTTAAAAAGATGTATTTCTTTTAGATCCACATGAGACCAGAAATGTAGTTTCAAGGTTAAATATCAAAAGACAGAATGCAAGTGGGCAAGCCAACATTACTGAACATAAAATATCATCGCTAATATAGTAACGAAGCAATTCACTAATACATGTAAAATTTCACCATTTCTTGCAAACACCTTTGCAAAATCCTGACATTTTATTTTATATTACAAATAAATATTTCCAAGAACTTTCCACCAACTGATTTAAAAAATATTTCTGTCGAAGCCCCTCTGATTTTAAATGTTGTATCATATGACTCACCTTGAATAAGGACAACTGACTTTTCAGCTGAACATACAAGTATTTAACACATGACTTGCATCAGGTTACCAGAAGACAGGCAGCTAAATCTCCCCACCAAGCACACAGCCTCTAAACTCTGAGGGAGTGTTTATATATTCCAAGAGACGTCAGTTCCCTCTAGCTTTTTGCCAGAAAAAAAAAAAATTAGTTGTATTGGTACTGGGGGAGTGTGTTATTTTTACAGTGTGACTGAAAGGCACTACCTATATCTCGTGGTAATATACTTAGCAGCTGCAATCTTTGTCAAATTTTGTTCCAAGTGAGTCAAAGGTCAAGGAGACAAAAGGGTAATATACTTATTTGGTTCCTGGTCACTTCTCTAATTTCCATTTGCTTAAAAACTGTTCATATTAGCAAGTTATGACTAAAGAGTTCCTGACAGCTTATTTAAGATAAAGAATATTTTAAAATATTATTTGATACATAGCAAGTTGTACTGTATAAATAATGCCTTACTACTACAGTCATTCTCTGTCAAAATACAGGCTAGACACCTTTGCAGCTTAATCATCGTGACAATATATTTTCAAGCAGTAAAAATCTTGAAAAGTCAAAATATTTTTAAAAGTAATTTTCTTTTTCACAGATTGCATTACAACATTTCCTCACAAAGTACTAAAGTTCTTCCTCTTTTACTGCAAGTTCAGTGAACTTCATCCCAGAAGGTTTTTTTTCTTAATGTATCTAAAAATCAGTTATTTTTATACTGACATCTGTGTAGACCAAAATGTTACCCCAGCAGAATGTCTATTAATAATGAACAATAATCAGTTCAGCAAGCTTTTGCAGAAATATTTCTGTATACCTCCTCATCATAGGTGAATTAAATGAATGGATTGTTTTAAAAGATTCTTCTGGCAGCAGTAAAAGGAAGTGATTCATATTTGGCTTATTTAACTTTAAGGGAGAAAATATTCCTAAAAATAGATTCTTAGGGCCATACTTCCAGGGTATGGCACTGAAGAGTTTGAAATGCACAGTTAGTACTTCCTGTGTGTTTTGATGGATTGTTTACTGTTCTGTTTTTGATACTGCCCTATTTGAAAGTCAAACTTTTGTGGAAGATCTTTTCTTCTAGTCTACTTAAGCTAAGTAAATAAAGGTGAGTGAAGATTAATGAGTTTGAGGTTTTATCTCCTAATAGTGAAAGCAAGAGTGAAAGTAAGCCTGCTCCTTTGAAAGCAACCTGTAGGACAGTCCTTGTACAAGGCTTGCTGCCAGGGAAACTTGGTGACCCTGACTAACTCCCGTTTCATATCCTTGAATCATGGAATTATAGAAATGCTTTTCTTTGAAGAGACTATTAAGATTACCAAGTCCAACTGTTGAAAAGTGGAGTAAATTTGCTCTCCTCTATTGCCTAATTAAAAGCGTGGAGTTTGCTGAAAGAAGCAGTCCTCTGCACTGTGGTTCTCATGCACCACTTTATGAGTATTATTATCGCTTATTTCTGTTGGACCTCTCCTCATATGATGTTGTTTTGCAGGTACTCCTGTTCAGGATCCCCCACCTTTTCTCCCAGATGGCACTGCTTTCTTCACTGCTGATTTATCCCTTCTAAAAGGAAATAATTCCAGTTACTCTCATCTGCCTGTGGAGATGTTCCCTACCATGCTGATTTTCTCCATTTTAGCATATGGCTTTCAGTGTGCACCATTCATAAGGGAGGAAGATACCTACTGCTGTCTTTTTGTTGGAATCCTCAAGGCACTAACACAGATATAAAGAAGCTGAGTTTTCAACATACGCGTGCTGAATTGCATCAGCTAATTTTGTGACATATGATATCCTATTATTGTCCTATATAAGCAAAATCTCTTCTAACAAGCAGTGCTTGGCAGTGAAATGAGGACTTCCAGATCCAGCTGCAGAAATCAGCTAAAAGAAATTGAAGCTAAGAGAGAAATTGTGCACTTTCAGATGTCAATAATTTCTGTTTCTTACAAACAAAACACAGTAAATCATAAGTACTTAATGGTTATTCTGTGTTCTCTGGCTTCATATCAGAGTTCAGAGGTTATAGGGGAGAAAACAGAGACACACAGCAACAGAACGATGACAGAAAAAGGAAAAAAAAAAAGAAGTATATACTTTATTGTAGTCCCCAGTGGTGCAAGAACAGACAAGCTACCCCATAAGGAGAAACTGTCAAGAAAGAGGAATAGTGTAAATGACACTCACATGCCTGACCAAGACACAGAGAACTGCAAGAAGCAGAAAAATACAAATGCAGTTGTTAACTCTAAATGATGAAAATGATGTAAAAAATGCTGAAGAAGTGTGTGATTCCTGGCTTTTCTAGACATCTCTTAGCTGGGCTTCTTGGAAATCACTTTCCTCAGGGTGCTTTCTAAACATAGAGGAAACAAATGAGGGGACTTATCTTCCTATATACCCTGATATACCTAAACATTCAATGTACATCTCCTCCTCCCCTTCCTTTTTTTTTTTTTTTTCTTTACATTAAGACCCCTTCCATCAGGAAATTATATACCTTTATGATAGACATAACCTGAATTTTGAGAATGCCCACATAAACATTCCCACATTCCTGTGGGAATTCTCTGATGTATAATACAGCACAGCGTGATTTTATATTTCCATGTTTCCACAGTCATGGCATTTAAGGAGTTCTTCACCTGCTTATTATGAAACTTGTAAAAACCGGTCTGAACAATAAGTACTTGTCAGATGTGGAGATTTCAGCAAACATTAGCTGAGGTTAGCAAGGAAATTAGAAATCCCCAGGAAACTCCTGTGTATACTTTTGCACCTCCTGAATTTTTCAGACACTAATCTTTTAAAAAACCAACCAACCAACAAACCAGCTAAACCCCAACCTTCTAGGGATTAGGTAAAGTGCAAAGCCCTTAGGCAGAAGATGAGGGTAACATTCTCAGCATTCAAAACATGATTTTCTATAATCTTCTGGGTACTCTTCCTATTTTGAAATAAAGGACTGAATAATGATTTTACCTCCTTTCTATGGGAAGTGAAAGAAAAAAATGGATCTGTTCTTTATCTAGCTTATTCTATTAACATTATGTTTTGTGGTTTCTACACTCCTTACCCAAAATGTTGTTGCCACCACTCGGTGGTCCTCTGGCTTCTCCACACGTACTAGTTCCACAACAAGGGTTGTACCTTGCTCAGCAGCAAAAGATTCAAAACATTTGATGCAACCACATAAAAGAACAACATGTGGTTTCTGTTCCCAAATAAATTCTTTCTAAATCAACACACTTATGTTCACTCATGTACACTTAGTTCTGCTGAGAATGATGAAAATGAATCATCTACAGAAGAAAATGTGCAATATGCCACCAGCTGGATGAAACTTCTGCCCTTCTGCATATATTGGAGATACTAGGACTTATTCCTTTATAGGGAGTGAAACTTTGTATTCACGAATATTAGTTTGATTTCCTAAGGAAACAAAAACCCTGTGTGTATCAACTCATCCCATAATACACAAGAAACAGCTCAAGAGCTATCAACCCCGACCAGCCTCAACATCTTACTTCATTTCTACTACATAAGAGCCTCCCCTAGAATAAACATGGTCTATCTTAAAGTAATGCTTATTGAGACTTGAATATATAGCAACCAAATTATAAAAATTATAATATAAAACTAATTTTTTTTTCCTAAATTATATGTTCACTGTCTTTCTCTCAACTACTCTCATTTTGGCTGCTATTTTGTGCCACCTCATTTTCCAGAAGACATGGGATAGACCAGAATTAAATGGCAGCAGTAGTCACGTCATTTTAAAAGCAGTAGGTGTCAAGATACTTCAGTTGTTTCAGTTTTGCTTTTAATATCTCTAAGGACCTAAAAGAAAAGAAAGACATAATTTCATAGTAATAATTCTTGTATTGTTTAAAGTTAATTGCAAATATTTGTTGCAAATAACTTTAGCCAGGCAAAAATAGGCATCTAACCTGAGGAAGATGAATTGGTTTTCACTCCTCTCAATGCAGAGGTACAAGCACATCCTAAGACTCATCTTACCTACCTTAAATGCTTATCTTAGGCAAGGATGTCTCATATCCTTTGGAGGTACTGTGTTTCTCCTTTAACTGCAGAGGATCTGAACACTCTACTTAAATCAGATGTTTAACTTTTAGTAGATTAATGTTAGAACAATTCCACTCAAACTCCCCAAAAAGGTCTTGCAGTTCCTCTCCTCATCAGTGCAATATACTGACAATGCCAGTACAGCTATGAAAGGTGCTGATAAGTGCAAATAAGTTGTGAAGAAAGAAGAAAATGCAATGAGAAAACTTCAAAATATTTACTACCTGACATTAATGGAAATTTTGGCTGAAATCTGCAGGCATGGTGCAGTATTTTTTTTGTCTGTCTTACATCACATACTTCTACTGCAGATGTGCTGGCGTTCAAAGCTTTCCAGTGTATGCCCCAAGGTATACTTCAACCTTCCCAAACAAGCATTAATACCTGATTTCTTATCACAAGAGCTTGGCGGACTCATTCCAAACTGCTGTGTATCTCCTTCATCACCCGATAAAGACTCCCAGCTGTAGTTTTCCCAGCTCTGTGGAGTGTTAGGACCTGAGGTGCTGTCCCTTGTGATTATCAATGTGTTCTGATGATATGGAAAACACCCTAAAATACCATTGGCTTAAGCCAACTTGGCAGCAGTACAGTGGAAACAACATGATATATTTGGCTCTTGCCAGTGATGAGTCTCGCTGTCAAACTGTAACTAGGTTCCTTTAGGGAAAAATGGGTGATGGAAGACCTAGCAGCTGCTTTGGTTAATTTTTTCCCCCACAAATATTGATTCTGAGCTCTTCACTGTCTGTGGCATGCATAAATTGCTGCTTTTCTCAGTCCTCAAAAATCACTTTTTAAACCCTTTATTTCAAGTTATTTTAGCAGAAGAATCAGTTGAAGAAGGCACAAGAGAGGCAGGAATAGAGAGGACTTTGATTCTTTCTCTCCTGTGGGTTCATATGAGAGTCACTCAGATCATAAATAGGAAAGAACTTCATAGAACTGGACCCAATACAGAAACTGTAATATAATAACTTAG